GAACGCTAGCAATCCAAGGTCGTTAAATACACACCTTTGATCCGGTCCGGTGTCTCTTTCCCCGACTGAACGCAGGCCTGCGCCGATACCCGTTGTTAGAGGGTTTGGGGGCTCAGATACAACTTCTGAAAGGGTTTGTTAGGCCTCTAAAGCCTCCGATACACCTGCCTCAAAGTTTTTCTGCTACACCTTCCTACACGGTTTTGGGTGCTCAGATACACCTTCGGGGTTGTCCGATACACCTTGTGACACGTTCCGATACACCTTTTAACAAGCTCAGATACACCGTCCTAAAGGGGTTTTGGGGCGTCCGATACACCATGGTAGAGGGCTTGTGGGGGCTCAGATGCAGCTTCCCAAAAGGGCTGTGACCTTGTGAAAGCGCTTTGGTGGCGTCCGATACACGGTTGAAGGGTTTTGGGGGGTCAAATGCACCATCCTCAACCGGGTTTTTTGAGGATCCGATACACCTTGGAAAAGGGCTTTGAGCGCTCAAATACAGTTTCAGATATAGCTTCCTGAAAGGGGTTTAGATACACCTTGTTAAAGGGCTTTAACCGTCCGATACACCTTTGTAAAGGGCTGGTGGGGGCTCAGATACAGCTTCCTAAACGGGTTGTGGGGCATCCCATACACCTTGTCAAAGCGCTTTGGTGGCGTCCGACACACCTTGTTAAAGGGTTTGGGGGGTCAGATACACCATTTTAAACCGGGTTCTTGCAGCGTCCGAGACACCCTGGAAAAGGGTTTTAAGTGCTCAGATACAGCTTCCTAAAGGGATTTTGGGGGCGTCCCACACGCCTCGTCAAAGGGTTTGGGGGGCCAAATACAGCTTCCCATAAAGGGGTTTTGGTGGCGTCCGATACACTTTGTTAGAGGGACACCATCCTAAATCGGGTTTTTGGGGCGTCCGATACACCTCGGTAAAGGACTTGTGGGGGCTCAGACACAGCTTCCTAAACGGGTTTTGGGGCGTCCGATACACCTTTAAAGGGTTTTGAGGGCTCAGATACACATTGTTAAAGGGTTTTGGGCGGCTCAAGTAGAGCTTCCTAAAATCTTGAAACAGCCTTCGTGCCTCTTCAACGGGGGCTTCTTCAACTATGGGTTTTAGAGCGTGGAAACCGCGCAAATCTAAACAAATC